AGAAATGTTGCTGAGTCCCTCCTTTTGGCTGTGAGCAGATGCCTCTGAGTGGGTTGGGGTCCCCAGCAGGCCCCCCCCCCCCAGGGGAATTTTTGCAATCTTGGTCCAGCATAGTTAGAAGCTGCAATTACTACTTGGTCGCTAATTACCCCGGCCTGACATTAGATCAGTTTACAGAGGGAGCTTGGAGCCTGTCAGCAAAGGTCAGCCTGAGGTCCTCTCACTAAACAGCCCCTCTTGTGATGGCTGTACAAGGAAAAAAGCATTAACGGGGGAAGGCTGAAGAGCCAGCTCCGGCTGCAGGGTCCTTGCTGGGGGGATGGGAGAGGGAGAAGCGCTATTGATGACTAAAGGGGTCACGGAGGCTGATAACCCTTCTCACAAGGTTTCTCAGAAAGCCTGGAGGAAGGCGAAGCCCTTTCATCGAGAGGCCTTGCTTTAGAGGGGGTGAGAAGGGTGCATGGAAGAAACTAGGACGTACCACTTGGTGACTTAACGGTGGACTTTGTTGGAAAGATCAGTTCAGCCAGAGCCTCCGAGAGGGGAGGCAGGGTCGAAGAGAGAGCTCCCCAAACTTGGGGTGTTCTTTCTGTTTTATCTTTTTACCCCTGTACTGTATTATTTGCTTACAATTTTTCTTTTCACAGCCTGTCCTATTAAAACCATAAATACCTGCTCTAACATCATCCCAAGCAGTGATTGATATCTGAGGAGTCACAGGTTTGGGCAGGTTGTATTGGCTCAAATACACCTTAAATAGATAACGATTCAGATTTAGAATGTTTACCCATGTATCATCTACAGTCACCTAGCCTGTGGCCAGTCTCGTTTGTAGGACACGCTGGAAAATAAAGGTGGAGAAGATGCTAGACTGGAAGTCTGAGTCTTTGTTTTCAAGCCCCAGCATTTCTTCCTCCTGAGATGTGTGGCTGTGGGTGAGTCTCTGCTTCTCTGAGCCTTCACAGTGGGATATGGGCTTCGTTAGGTCTCATGCAAATGAAATGAGAACGTTCTTTCTTTCACTCCGTGTGTTTATGTGTGTATAAATATTAATAGCCAGCACTTATTAAGCATCTGCTGTGCTAAATACTTCACTGTCTTATTAATCCTTACAACCATATGGGGCAAATATGGGCTCTACCCCCATTATATGCAGGATGAACCCAAAGCAGGTTAAGATCTTGCAGCTTCTAATTGGCCTCCGTGCTGGGATGCCAGTGCAGGGCATGTGCTTATAGCTTGTTTCATCCTATGCTATATTCTGTATAGGAGTTTTTTATTATTGACCCACTTCAAGGTGTTCTTTTGGTGCCTCTCCATTATCTGCCTGTTGGGTGCAGTATTAGAAAAACAGCATTTGAAATGAGAAAGACCGGAAAGAAAAGAGTGTTCAGCTCCCCATGGGTGGGTCTCTAAATTCCCTTAGCAGCTGCGGCCCAGTCCTAAGTACTCCATTCCAGTTGTCTGTTTGTCCCTTCGCTGGTTGAGACAGGCCTGGATTTCACCATAGCTCTCCCCGTTCAAATCAGGGCGAGATCAGTATGCGGTGATGGGGGCCTCAGAGGCAGGGGTACGATGTGATGCATTGATAAAGTTCTTGCAGCCTGAGACACGGGCTTCGGAGCAGTTTCAGAACTCCATGTGCGATCTCGTCGCAGGTACAACTTGTCTCTCCAGCATTAGAGGCTCTGGCGCTGTCAGGACCCGGAGGACACTGTGCCATCTGACCTTCCGAAATGGCCAAGGGACAGTGCTAGGTTTAGCGCTTGCCCCTCCATGACCTTAAGTGGGAGTCTTGTCCCCCACACTATTGTAGTTAGGGATGTGTGCCTGTCTCTGGACTCCTGAGTCTGAAATGGGCCAGACCTAGCACTCCTTGATTTGTATAACAAAGGTATGGAAAGGAAAAGAACCCTGTGTTATTTTGTAAGTTAGGAAAGTTCAGCTAGACAGGGCCAGTGAATGGGCTGTGGAAGCTGTTTCAGGGGAAGGTTTAGAGAGAGAACCCCGGTCTCTGACTCCTGATTCCTCTTTTCTGGAGCCAGAGGAGCCCCAGGCCTGTGTGGGAAACATGCTTTACGAAACTCTTTCACTGAACTTCCACACCCCGGGTGCTGACTCAAACCACTTCCCCTCGTATAACTGCACGTTCGAGTAATTAACATATAATTTGATACCTGGAAATTCATGCTGGGTGGAGCTGGAAGGGATTACTCAGCTTTTAGCAATTCAGACTCTTGGGCTATAGAACTCTGTTTTGTATCCTGGTTCTGCTGTTACTGCTGGCTTGTTTTGCCAACATCTTTGCTGCTTATTTTTTCCTTCTGTCCTATGAAGATTAGTGAAATGATGATAGAGTATGTTTTATCATTTAAACTACTAAAGGGTTGTTGACTTTTACACATGGACTCCGTGCTTCTCTAGTATGTCTGTTCTTAGCTTTCTTCTCCCATTGGCTGGTGGAGTTTGATGGTGTCATAGTTTATTTCACTTCCTGCTTCTTCACTGAGGCAATGCCATCAGTATTAAAAAATGCAGTAAGTAATTATCAGGGAAGAATAAAGATGAAAAATTAGGGCGATTTTGCAATTTAAATTTATTTAGAGTGTATGCTGATAGTTGTGAGTTTTGTTGGAGAAATTATTTATTGTGTTGACACATATTAATGTGGAGGGATCATAGTTTTTAATATATATGGTACCTGCCCATTTAAAGATACAAAGGCTCGGTGAACTCTGACTTGGAGCTGAGAATCGGCATAGTGGAAAGCTGATCGAGATATCTTGAAAATAAATCTGAATGTCGGTATGCTTTGAGAGAGGACATTTAGAGCCGTACAGATGGAAATTGTATATCATGTGAACTCAAAGGAAGGAAAAGAGTGAATCTCTTAAACAGGAAATGGGTTCCTGCTTGCGTGCCGACTTTTGATGGCCACAGCTTCCTGATCCAGTGGGTTGAGAAGGATCCCGAGTCCCAGTCCCAGCCGGGTATGCTCTCATCAGTCAGGTGCAGGGAAGGTAGGAGTGGGGAGAGTAGCTCAGAGGCTGGCCATTTGTTCCCTGCCCTGGATTGTGCTTGTGAGCCTTTCAGGGTTTGAGAACTTGACTTTGGAAAGCTTCTAAATTTGTTCCTAGTGGGGTGATTTATTTTGTTGAGGTCAAATTAGAGCTAATGGTCCTAATGGTTTACAATGCTCCTAAATGGTTCTTAGCACTTAGACAGGCTTGGCTGGCCATTGTGGGCAGGTTTCCAAGTGTGGTCCATATCATTCTGAGGGTATATATGTATTTTTGAAGTTGTTGTTGAGAGTACAACTTATGTGTGTGAGTGAGGTTAAAAGGTAACAGCAGAATTAGTCATACATAATATTCGACTTTCTCTCAGTATCAAATCCAGGGATGTGTTGGTTAATATGGGCGCCGTGGGCATATGGTGAGTGAGCAAGGCGTCCAGCCGGGAGTTCGGTGGTTGGTGATTGTCCTTGGCCACTTTGCGTGGGACTGTGTTGTTCGTGAAAATGCAGTGATAGGGACGCCTCAGATTTTTTCTGGCCGTTTCTGATTGCCAAGTAGTTCCTGTGAGAGCAGGTAACCTGGTTAAACTATTCTTGGTGCATCCCTTCTAGCCATGCTGTGGTATCTGTGAGTTCATGGCAAGGTCTTTGGCAAGGGGATTATATTCTGCATAAAACTGGCTCCAGTCTTCTGATTTCTGTGTGATTGGGAGTAGGCGGAGCAGATGGGTGTCTGCAGAGGAGCTGCGTGTCTCTACTGGTCCACAGAATTAAACCGTGCATGTGTCCGCACAGGCAGGCTCTGTGGACAATGACCTCTCAGGGCTGCTGGGTGCAGCTGAAAGGGGAGAGAATCGAGAGGGTAGGGGCTTTGCTCCCTAAGCTGAGGAGGTGGTGCAAGGTAAAGACAGGATTACTGGTTAATAAGGGAAAAAAAAAAATCTGCCTCCAAATCATCTTTCTTTGAAGGCCCATCAACTCAGAATAGTGCCCCCTAAGTTGCAAATGTGTTTTTGAAGACCAAGTCCAGTTGACTTCTATTATTGGTAACATGCTATTGGTCACTATGGATTGAGCCAGAGCTCTTGAGGGTAGAGTGAGGGATGGGGGCTTTGCTTTTCTGATTGCTTGTGGAATGGCTACTGGGTTCTTCTCAAAACTTGGATTCCTTTTTTCCCTCTGGCACACCCTGAAAATACTCTTTTAGTATATTTGCAAGCTTTGTAGTCCTGAAGCCACCATACTTGTTCTTAGGACCCAGTGGATTTTCCCTTGACCAGTTTGAAGACCATAATGCTACCTGTGAGAAGCCTGCTTCTATTGAGAAAAATCTCCACTTTCGTCTAGTTCGTCTTGAAAATAGTATCAGTCACCATTAAAAGTTCTGTTAATCCAAACACTTGGGTCTCAAGGCAGGTGGTTGTGTTTTGTCACCAAGAAAGAGTTAATTTCCACTATTAATAAAATGAAGCTGGTGCATTGGGCATGATAGAACTCAAGACGTGAGCCCAGTGTAGCAGCTAAAATCACCATTGAGTGTTGTGTTGGCGGAAATGCATTCTAGAATCAGCGTTGACCATGTTCAGTTAGTCCCATGGCCACCAAGTTCTCCAGAGAAGTTTTAATTACAAACCAAGGTGATGTGGTTTCTTAAATGTGTTATAACAAATGGATGTTAGCCCAAGGAGCCCTGAGCAGCCCCCTCCATCAATAAAACCCCGTAATTATCACAGGGCGGGCTCTGAGGAGGAAATCTCAACGCCCTGAGTGTCTAGTCGGCTGTGCTTCCTGCCTCTCTTTCCTGAAGTTGGGGGCAGGGTGAGGTGTTGAAGGAGAGCCCTTTCCTCAGAGGACCCCGAGAGTGATGACACACCCAGGACAGGCTCGGATGCTGTCCCATGGAGGAGCATGTTGATAGCTGGGGGTCCAATCTTCTCTTTGATGATGGGCCAGGGGTGGGAGTTTGGGGGAGGGAGGGTGGTTAAAATGGAAGACCTTGAAATGGCAAATCTTTATTAGTTTTGTAAACAGCTTTAGGAAGCGCTGGGAGCATCTTGCAGGGACCCTGCAATTATCATAATAAACAGTTTTATCATCTGCTTGGCAATCAATATTGTGGCTTATGCTGCTTTAGTATCTCGGTGGTATTGATTACCTTAACAACTGTGCTGCGGTCAGCTTCCATTAACCCCTGCTCTGCTGGCAGGGCCTGTGCCTCCCATGGTTGGATGGAAGACTGCTCTGGTCCCAGCCCAGGCAAGCGCTAGAATTTGACAGCTGGCCAGAGAGTCAAACACAGCTTTCATCTCAGGCGCCCAATAGAAGGAAGGGTTTTAAACAGGGAATCTGGAAGCTAATGCAACTTTTTAAAGGCATTTTTTTTGTGTGTGTGTGGAGACAGTGTATAAAACAATTAGAGCAGTGGGGTTTCAACTGTGAGTCGGGAATTTGAATGTTGAGTGCAAATTCTGATTCTTCCTGCCTTGGCTCTGTCCAGTGCTCCTCTTAACTCACCTCCACCCTCCCCGGGGGAAGATGGACATGTGTGGAACTGAATTGAGGACTGCAGCGCTTATGCCCTTATGCAACGTGCATTCCTGGGACTCTTGGAGCACTTTTGTGATCTACATTTTACTTTTAGAGAGAAACCACTTTCTTTGGGGACATCTAGTACTAGGACTCAGGTTCTTCTGGACCAGAGAATGTCTGAAGTGCAGCAGTCCATCATAAGATGACAGAATGCTGGAGAGAAATTTTGGTGTCCCTTCAGAGTATATCACTCTTACTGGCTGTCCCCATCTCTGGTCTGGTTAACGTTTACAACCCCCCTTCTTCTGATGAAACAAAGGCAACAAGGACACTTAGCTGCAGGGAGCAACCCAGATGGAGCCCCCAGACCAAGCCAGCAGTTAGGGATTAGGTAGTAGTAAGCAACACTTGTCCAGAAACTTTGGGGACAAGATCTTACCAGCAGGGGGTGGTTGCAGTTGTGTGTGTATATGGATTGTTTTTCTTTCTTAAGTGCTCTATTTTGTTTAGTTTTAAATGAGAAATATATGTGTGTGTGTATATGTGTGTATGAATGAGTGTATATGAAGCCAAGGGGTGAGCTTGCACATTATACCCAGCCGCCTAACCCCTTTGGCCCAATTTTAGTGAAGACGATCATAAGGGTCTTCCACATTGCAGACCCAACAACAAAGGTGCTGTTCAACCCGAGTGACATTGACCTCTAATGAGAAGCCAGCTACCACATCTAGGAGTCAGTTTTTAAAGCCGATGAGTTTCATGGAGTCGCTAGGCAGTGGCGGAGGAGGAGGAGGAGAAACAGGAGGAGGCAGCGGCAATGGTTGGGCTAGGAGGAGAGTGAGTTGCGTTGACAGCTGCCATGTTCCTGCCCTTCTTGCCAGACTGCAGCCTGTGGCTTCCTTGTCCCTTGTAGCTACCCAAGAAAAGGTGGGAGTGGAAGTTTATCAGATGGGGAGGAGGCCAGTAGGTATGTGACAAACATGAGAGCTGTGGATTGAGCTTGGAGAACTGCAGGTAGGTGCAGCCAAGGGAGTCACAGGTGTATGGGATTCTTGGCCTTGGGACTCAAGCCCCAACCAGGTAAGGGTCCATATTAGAGAGGGTCAGGAAGCCAGACCAGAGAGTTGGGGCAGCAAGATGTAAAGCTGTAGGCTCTGGTGGTGAGCCCCAGGCTAGTAATAGCAAGACTTGACGTTGGTATGAAGCCACAATTTGATGAGCAGGGCTGAGCCTGCAGATGGCAGTGAGTAGATGGACCTGTGCAGGTGAGGGTAGGGCCCCAGGGAGTAGGAGTGGGTCTCCTCCATTCGGAGGGGAAGCTGGTGGGAGTAGTCCTCTACATGTGGTTAGAGAATCTGCATAGGGCCATGGCTTAAACAAGCCTTCCCTCCTGACCCCACCCTACCAGGTTACCCTCCCTCCATCTGGGATGTCAAGATGTCCCCATCACTGTGTTGTATTCTGGACCCACCTGCTTCTGTCCTCATTTTCCCTCTACCCAGACTACCTTGGTTCCACAAATTAGAAAGTTTTAAGTATAATGCTCTTCCTAAAAATGTCACTGAGATCTATCAGTTAGGCTCGAGGTGGGCAGTGGTTATTAAGTTGACCAAAGTTCCATTGCTTTCCATCCCAATAGGAACTGTAGCTCAAAGGGCTCCATGAAGGCAGAGGGTGGACTAGATTGCTCATAGCATAGAATAAGCAACGTTTGTGATGGGAATGAAGCTGGTTCCCCGACTTTTGGTTTTACATAGATTTGTGCGCTTTGATTACGTCATGATGCAGTCATATGGCGGCCAAAAGCACCCTGTATGTGACCCCACTGGTCTTAACTTGAACTCTGCATTGATACTAGCTCTTCTAAGTCTAACCTAATTCGTGAGGAGCTCCTTAGACATTGACAGCTTTTTAGTTTATTCTTTTGCAAATAGCTTTTTGGGCCGAGTGGTCAGTCTCGGACGGTGGTATCATTTGCGTGGTAGAGGACATTTTAGAGGGACTCGCCCTCTGCCTGCTCATGTCTTAAATTTTGTTATGGCCAGAGATCTTTGTTTCAGCATTTGGTGCCTTGCTAGGTGCATTTCTAGGCCCTACAACACTCTGATCTACATAAAATGTTAAGACTTACTGTCTTCCATCAAGGTTCTTGGCTGTGTGGAGCAACCTGATATTGGTTGTTATTTATAGCTCTGCTTTTGAGTTGTGAGCAGTGAAATGTCTTTTTTGAGTCTTTGGTATATTCCTATATGTTTTTTTTATTTAGAAGATGAAATGTGATTTTGACGGGTTTGGAAAGCTGATTCTCTTTCAGGAAGTGATGTCTTCATAGAGAAAAGGACGCATGAATAGAATCCCAGAGACCAGGTCCCCCTCCCTGATTTGCCACAAACCAACTGGTGACCTTGGGAAAGAGTGACTCATAGTAGCCACTTTAATGTTTGCTGAATCTTTTTAAACCTGTAAAATCTGAATTATGATTCCCATTGTCTACTTAAGATTGTTGGAGGTCAAATGAGAAATGAATATAAGAATGTTTACAAATGTGTAAACCACTGTGTAAATGGAAGGAGCATTGTTATTTGTTCCTGGGAAGTTTGGTGCTGCGTGTTTCCTAAAGGACTGTTTTCTTGGTCAAATACTAATGCATCTCTGAAAAAGTCCGTTGCAAAGAGTATTTCTCAGGAGCCTGCAGCACGGTGGTGGGTGAATGTGGGCCCACTTGTGGCAAGAAGCCCACTTATCATTGGGCCATGCTACTTGCCAGAACCAGCCCAATGGGAACGAGCTCAGTTCAGACGTGAGAAAGCAATTAAGGTGACTGACTTATAAAACATTCATACTGAGATGAAAGATGGTGAGCTCAAAAACAATGGTTGGTAAACATTGCCTTATTTTGTAAATTCACTGAAAGTGTCCGAAATTATTTCTTAACCCATTAAATCAACAAGTGGAGGCTTTTAACTTATCAGTGGATGTGTTTTTCTTAATCAGAGTTTGGCTCCAGGCACTAAATCAAGCTCTTTTGGAACCTTAGGCTGTTACGGCTCATTTTTGCTCAGTAATGATAGTGGTAGTTATGTATGAACGTGTCAGGTCCTGTGCCCAGAGCGTGATGTGTATCATCTCTTCCTGTATTCTTCTTGACATTAGCGGGATGGTGGTGCTTGGTACCTTCTAAGGGTAGGAGAAGGGGTGAGGTCAGCAGGTGATGAGTTTTGAAAACAAGATTTAGAGATAGCCTAAAGGACTAAGATAGCCTGAAGGACTTGTTAGCAAGTCCTTGAGCTCTCCTAAAGAAAACAGAACCCCTGTTTCTATGAAAATAGGCTTAGCTTGCCATGAATGTGTCAATTTAAGGCTTCTGGGAAGCTTGGCTTTGGCCAGTGCTGTTCTTTTTTCAGAAGATGCTCCTGAACTGGATAAAGACAGAGCTTTCTTTTTTTTAAAGAAAAAAATTATGTAAAAATAGAATGATGTGATGAACCCCATCAACTAGACCTGACAGCAGTTCACTTTTTCTTAGATTTGTTTAATCTTTTTGTTCATTGGCTTCGATTTTAAAGCCCATCAAAGAGATCATGATGCTTCCTCATTTTCTTAGGTGCTACTAAGATGTTTACATAACAAAATTAACAAATTCTTATCATCATTGAATCCCAAATCGCTATTTAAACTTATCTGCTTGTCCCAGAAACAGTTTTTTTTTTACAGTTGGTTTGTTAGAATTGGTATCCAAATGAGGTTGACTAGTGCATTTAGTTGTCTAGTTCTTAGGTCTCTTAATCTAGAACAGCACCCTCACCCCCCAACTCCAGCCTCCACGTGTGCCCTCCCTTCCCCACGCAACCAGCCCATGGATTTTGCAGGATAATGGAGAGTAGCTACATGTGGTAGAAAGAGCATTGCTTGTGTGGTGTGAAGGTACCCAGGTCCTCTTCCCAGCTCTTCCACTGACCAGCTGTCTGACCATGGGCAAACCACCAGCACCCTCTGGGGTCGTTATTCTTATCCATCAAAGGAGGCAGTGAGACTGAATGGCCTCAAACTCAAGCATTCTCATTACGACCCCAGAGCGACCAGGGACACAGGATTGCAGGCCTGTTTGCTACCAGTCCTTATCCCAATTTTTGTAATTGAGGATTTATTGGTACTAAATAATCTTGAGCAGTTGGCTTGTTCTTTTTCTCTTGGACATTGTGAATAGTGTACCTAAAACAAGGCTATTATGTTTTTCTTCTGGACTTTTAGAAAGCTTAGAGCAATATTTATGGCTCAATGCGTTGTTTATTACTGTATGCATTTTAAGCTTTGGTTTTGGCTCAAATTTTCCTCCACTTGTGTTTCTTTCTTTCTTCTTTTGCCCTGGCCTCAATTTATGCTATGATGTTGTACTGTATATTCTTGTAAGCAGTATAAGTAAACAACTGTGTGCTGGGTATTCCTGTGTGACTCTGACTGGTCTGTAAGCTTGTGGGGGCCAGGGTCCCTGTCTTATATGTTCTCTGCTTTGTTGAGCCACAAATTAGGGCCCAATAAAAGCTTACTGATAGATTTTGGTTTGACATATTGTCATCACTTATGCATTTACTAATTTTCTATTTTAGTGGTGAAGAGTTATTTGGAACAGTATTAATTTTGTGACTGGCCTGCTTCTTCTCTGATTCGCATTTCATCTGGCAAAGCGGCCTGGTGAGCCACCCGGCTGGTGATGTTATTTTTGTAGAACTTGTCTTCTTGAGTAGCTCCTTGCTGGTTTTTCACAGGCCTTTGGTGAGTGAAGCAATATTTGTTGGGCAAACAGTTGGGGTGGGGGTGGGGATCTTAACTGCTAAAACAGTAGCCATTCTATGCATTCCGAAGAGTTCACCTCTGGTTCCAGCCTTGGACACAAGGGGCGCTGTTCTTGGGATGTTTAGGATGATAGAGGTGGATGAATCAGAATCCGTCATCTGCTATATCTGGAAAAAAGTAGATTGGACAATGAGATGTGCTTCATCTTCTCGTAGGACTCAAGCGTGAGTTCTCTCGTTGACTCTCACTCAGCCGCCTTTGCTGTTTGTGAGAGTCTGTGCTAACCCTCAGTGAGGGATTTGTCGCAGCTGGCTCTCTCCCTCACATCCCAGGACCTCTGGCTCCTCGGTTGTCCAGGAGAGAGAAGGATGTTGATCCTGGAGTGTTAGGGGAGGATCCGAGTTCACGCGTGTTGAGCACCTAGCACCGTGCCTGGCACACAGTGGACACTCAGTAAACAGTAGGTGCCTTCAGGATGGCCTCTACGAGCGGCAGGGGGACATAATTGCGACTGTTGCTCAGTGGCCTCCTCTTTTCTTGTTTGTTGACACTTGGAAAGGGATCCTTTAAGCCTTGATTTTGAAGGGTTTGGGGCCTGGTTTTGAGGGTTCCTATTCTGGGTCCCTAGAACACTTCCCTGTTATCCACAGAGAAGAGCTGAGGTGCCCTGGTTGGTGAAAGAGTCCTGCTGATGTTCCTGTCCCGGTCAGGTGCTCTCCTAAGCCAGCAGTGTGGCATTTATCCTTTCGTTGCCATGTTGAGGAGAGCGCTTCCCGTCCCCTGCTCCACGTGGACTTGGTCCAGAGGAAGGCAAGACCCCTGGGGGGTCCTGGGTGTGGCGAGGAAGTTGAGGCTCAAGGCTTGCAAGTTTTCTTCTAATGGAATTTCCCATCACTTACTGCCCTGCTGATTTCTGATCAATGAAAATGAAATTGCATCACCTCCTCAGAGGCTCCACGTATGCCTGCTGCTTCCAGCTGTGTCAGTTCCGGTAAAATAATCTCATCAGGCGTGCGAGAGGGTAATAGGAAATAAAAATAAAAACCCACAATTAGCAAGAGGCCTTGCAGCTGAGTAACACTTTCCATCCCAGAGACAGAAAGGGCTGGGTAGTGAATGCTTAGGAAAGAGTCCCTTGAAAAAAAAAAAAAAAGAAAATTCCCAGTCCTCCTTCTCCCTCCTTTTCCTCACTGCCCCTGAACTGTCGCGCCCCCTCCCCACCCCGCCAGGATGTGTGCATGATTTAGAATTGTGCACAGGTTGTTTCTGCCCTACTTCTGAGGTCAGTAGAACTGCTGTGTGATGGGCACATATCGGGGTGGCATTTGCTTTTCTTTTCTCTCAAGTGCCCCCCAGATAGACACAAAATGAATTCTCGACATTCCAGCTTCTCCCACTGACCTGTGACAGGGAACCAGATGGCCAGGGGGACAACTGGAGGCTGAGTTAAGGTTGGTGAGTAGACTTCTCAAAGCTGGTTCATTTTAATTTCTAGACTTTATCCTTCAATTATCAGTCCATTAAGAACAAGACTCCCCACTCTGTGTTATCCCCTGAAACTCCCAGTACCGTGTTGTGAACGCGAGGCTCTGTGAATGGGCATTGTTTGGTCATGTGGACGATGGGCAGAGCCACCTCCCCATGGAGTGCTGTGAACGTCGGGACATGCCAACCCCACCACCTCTTGATGAGACTTGGGGAGGTCAAACACTGCCCCCAGAACATTCTGTCGCTTACGTGTATGGGGCCTGGAAAGTCACAGAGTCCAGCCAAACGGAAACTGAGGCCGAAGAAACCAGGATGGGGAATCCAAGGGGGAGGTTAAGGATGTGGGAAACCTGTGGGGTCATCTGAGAGGAGCCAGTAGAAATGAATCACATCATCTCTTGTCAACTTGACAACATCAAAGGAGAAAAAATGCTTATGTGAAGGCCAGTTCAGTGGTTCTGGCAGTTTCTTCTAAGTATCTGAGGGGCAGCATGCCCTTCATCCCGGGGGAAAAAATCTTGAGCTGTTAGGAAATGCTCAATCTCAGACATCCCTAATCTTCCTTTAATTGGCGACTCCTGTGTGGATTGAGGGCAAGAACCCTGAGGGGACAGGGTAGGGGTGAACTGAAGTGTGGGGGCCACAGTGTCCCCAGCACCGTAGCGTCTCAGGGCAATTGCACAACTTGCCAAACCATGTGTTGCAATAGTCAAAACATGTTTTTAAATGCAGTGGACGTCAGAGGCCATCACTGACCACATCTGGTTAATAGGAGGACAGATTCTGGCAGTGGAGCAGGAAGACTCTGGAATGGGGGAAGCAATAACCTACATAATTGTGTTGATACAGCGAATGGAGCAGTCGTGTGAAGTGCTGAGGCTGTCCCCACCAACACCCTAATCATCGCTGCCTGGGTTCTTATTTTGCATGTCTGGACTCTTAACGAGAGCAGCCTAGTAAGAGTCTGTATGGATAGGAGGGATATTGTGTATATTGTAGGCACTCACCAAATATCTGTTGTGTGAATGAATGGAAATCAGTAGGGCAACTGGTGAGTTTTTGGCTAAGCCTTATGCACAGGAGCTTAAAACTAAGGCCAGTTGGGCCAGAACCCCAGTGGCCTCCTTGTTATTGTGGCCTAAGGAATCGGCCCCCTTAACTGGCCGGTTTGGGTTCCCCCCATCTTAGCCTGGCTTAATGCAATGCGGGAATCTTTAGGAGCTACAGGAATTTTCCACAACCTTCTCCTGTTCTAGTGGCGTCCAAGATTAGGACTGCTGGCTGAAAGTGAAAGGAGAGAGGGTGCCACCTCAGAATGGAAGCCCAAGTTCTTTAGGTTAACATGCATTTTTCGTATGTTTGTGTGCTTGCACAAATACGTTTCTCCTCTCTCATCTTAGACACTTAGCACAGGGTCTTGATCCACATTGATCACATTTTATGACTTGGACTGGCAACTCCCCTCCAGGGATGAGACCTAACCAGGGTGTTCAGGAAGCCATTAAGGAAAAATACGTAACCACACTCCTTCCCAAACTCAATTGTTGGGTCTTCGCAGGGCTTGGATAAGAGACTTTCAAGCATAATTAATCCAAGTACTATTTAACGTGGCCTTGGTGATTCTTCAGAGCAGCTATTGACCCAAAAGCAGCATTTGGAGCAGCAAGAGGAGAGGGACCATCTGGGCTATTTTTGCTGAGCTTGTGAGGGTGTAATTATTCCCCACAGTCACTTGGTTCTTTGGGCAGCTTCCGGAGGCTTAAGGAAGTGCAAGCTCTTGGATCCTTACACTTGAAGAAAAGATTTTCCTTTGTTGTTTTGCCCGATTCCCAGGGCCAGTCTTTGAAGTGGCCAAGGATAGATATGTCTCAATCTGTTTTTCTTGATTAAAAGTAACAGTGCAAATAATGGGCTTCCTAATTACCACATGGGATGGAGAAGGGGCTGAGAGGAATAGGACACACAGCTAAGTTTCACTCCCCCCACAACCCGCACACCCACCCACCACCCAGTGGGGTTTTAAGCTTTGGAATTTGGAAGTCCTTCCAACATGCACAGAGAGCAGACAGCATCTGCACCCTCTCCCATCTCTCTGGAAGCCCTCAAGGTCCTGACGGCTGGTGCTGCTGCTCTGCTTTGCCATAAGGTGGGGCATTGAAATTTGAAATATCTCCTTATGCCTCTAGGATTTGAGGACTGCTGAATATGAAACATGCTTCTCAAATCTTCAGTTTAGTAAAGTGAAGCTGTTGAGGAGGAAACTGTGATGGAATCACCGTCCGCAGTGTGCCCTCCAAAGAGGAAGTTCGGGGGACACTTGGTACACACAACCCACAGGGGTATCTGAGGGCGCCCAGCCAAGACACACCCTTCCTGAGGCATGGGGAAGACCCTGTGAGTGGTTCTGCCGTCGCACAGCCATCCCCTCTTCATGCCCTTGCCAATGGCGGGCCTTACAGTTTCCATTCCTGCTTTATTTAGTGGTGCCTCCTGCTCCCTGCTGTTTGAAAAGCTGTTTATGCTAACGAGCCAGGGAAGATCTGAAGAGCTTGCTGTGCCTGTGCTGGTGAGAGGCCCTGTGTGTGTGTGTTGCCCCATTAATGAACCTTCGAAGGGCAACCCTTGTTTGTTTTGTCATGGTGCCAATTCCGGAGCCTCGTGCCAGAGTGTGCTGCCGATGGTGAGCCCACCATGTGGCCTTCTTCCTGCTGAGAGGAAAACACACTCCTTTTTCAAAGGGTCATTTTGGAGATGCCCATTGAGGGAGACTTTCCTTCCCCAAGGCCGCCTCTCACCTGGCCGCTCCTGGCCTTCCCCAGCATCCCGTGAACAGGTGGTGGGGTGACTGGAGAGCAGGGATTTCCTCTTTCCAGGAAAGTTGGATGGGTTTCCCCACTGCTGCCCCAGGACCAGAGAAAAGCAGCTGTCACAGGTTATTCATTTGTTTTCTCCTACATCAGATCTGTATAAAAGAAAGCTTGAGGCCCGTGGCTGCTTCTCCTGCATTCCTGAGACCGCTCATGCAAGCAAAGAACCTGCCCGAGCGCCGTTTCTCTTGGGTTTTTGTGCAGCCTTGAGCTACAGCAGTTACTCCTGCTGTTCAAGTGACATGTTCCGCTGACTCAGAACTGCTAATAAGAATTCAGGAACCCTTGTAGACACATCATCCTGTTCAACTAGTGGGCGTGGCTTTGAGAAGCCTTTCTTTGAGGAGAAGCCCCAGGAATTCACTTGTGTCTAGTGCACACTGGATCTCCCGCCCCACACAGGGTTGTATTTAGGGATTTCCTTGGGTCCTTGGATTTGTTTCATTGACCAGCTATTTAGGATGGCTGTAATGAGGGCTGCCTCTGCTGTCTTCAGACTCTCTGTAATTTTGGAATAGGAAATAAATCTAATATGATAAACCACAAAAATCCTGAAATACTAAGGTATTATACCTGAGCCTCAGAATTAGGATCATTTGGTCTTTGGTGATTAATTATTTGTCATGTTGAGATCAACACACTTCCACTACTGTTGTTTAAATGTCTCTTAGAAGGAGAAGGTGTGCTGTTCACCAAGAGTTTTGTTCATACTGCTTGCTCAGCATGGTGCTAGGCGATGAATGGAAATACAGGCTGATTTTTGCCCTCAAGCAGCTTATAATCAAGTTGTAGAGATAAAAGTAATTGAAGTGAACCAAGGAAAAGTTCTTTCAGTGACAAACAGTGTGGTGGTGATTACTGAGGAGTACAGAGAGGAGAGAGATTGGTGTGGGCTTGACTGATGGGAGGGGCTTTTATGGCCTAAATGGAACTTGAACTTGTGCTTCTTACAGAATGCCCAAGGTTTGGATAAATGTTGAGGAAGAGAAAGGACATCCAAAGGGCTTGGGCTGCAGGAACAGAGGCAAGAATGCATAAGAATGTGGGGCTGATGGGGAGGTGACCCTCCTGTTGAAGGAAAGTGAGAGAGATGGTTGAGTGGTAGTGTAGGGTAGATTTTTAGAGTATAAGTTTGAATGTTTTGACATTGGCTCTTGCATGGGGAAGGCACCAGATGAATATGACCATTTATATTGGGAGGGCTAGACTGGTCTTTCCTTTCTGTTTTCTGGAATCAAAGATGGTACCAAGAGTTCCATCCAGAGAGACCAGGGCGGTCAGGGCGGGGCAGTTCCGTGTGGACATGTTGAGCCATGCTGAGTGTTGAGTGATGGAAGGCTAGCCACTTACAGACATCTTGTGGTCTGCTGAAAGTATGAGATGCATATTCAAGCGATAAGTCAGGAATGGAAATTTTTGTTTTGGGAGTCAACTCATAATTTCGGTAATTGAAACCACAGAAGTAGTTAAGGTAGTTGATGTACAGAGATAAGAGCAGAGAGCCAAGGGAAAGTATGATGATGGTTAAATACTATAGGAGAACAGAGAGGAGAGATTTCTGTGGGTTAAAGTAATAGGGAGTTTTATCGAGTAAGTGGAAAAGCACATCCATGGAGAGCTGTAAGAACGGGAAGAAGGGCAAGCAATGTAGAGAGGTAGGAGGTAGGAAGGGAGCCAGAAAACTAGGTCAGAGAGGCACAGCAGGGAGCAAATTTCAAGGTGGGATGGTCAGCAGTTTTGAATGCAGGGGAGATTGAAGAAGGTGAAAGTAGAAGAGGAAAAACCATTGGCTGCCATGAGGAGGGCATTGATGCCCTTGGAGAGAGGACCAAATCTTGGAGATGTAGGGCCATCTAACCCACCAGAATCAGTGTCCAGCCCTCCCCTCCAGAGAGCCTGATTCTGGGCTGGGACCTGGAAACTGTGTGTATCTGCACTAAGCTCCACAGTTGGTTCTGCTGCACAACAGAGCTTGAGAACTCTTGATGCAGTGTGGCTCTCTGTAAACAACGGGGGAGGAGGAGCTCACCTGGCTTTAGAAGACTGGTATTGGGGAAGGTAAGCAGTGGGCAGAGTCCATTTGTTTAAAGGAGTTGAGATTCGAGGGAAGGACAGAGAGCATTGTCTAACTGGCGGTGTAAGTGGGTCAGACTCTGATCCAGGAGCTCATGGGGTAATGGAATATGGTAGAGAGTCAAGTGGGAGGGATCACCAGTAAAATCCTATAAAGCCCTCGTATTAATCATCACGGAAAGGACAACACAGCCCTGCCATAGAAATAACAGGCAATTCACAAAAGAAATATAAATTACCAATAAGTATCTGCAGATGGGTTCTGTCTTCCTAGCAAAAAATGTAAGTTAAAATGAGATGCCATTCTTGCCTGCCAAATTGACATTTTTTTTTTTTAAACAAAATAGTACTGACTAGTGATGAAGGTGCAGGAAAATGGATGCTCATGTGCCAATGTGAGTGTGATTTAGAAGAACTTTCCTAGAGGGCAGTTTGGCATGTGCCAAGAGAGCCTTAAATGTGCCTAGCTTTTGAGCCAGCAATTCCACTTCCAGAAATATGTCCTAAGGAGGGAGAGACAGAACGTCCGTTAAGAGCCTGGGTTTCAGAGTAGTACAGGAGGCTTGCCTGGTTTCAGAGGCTGCCTTAGCTGGTATGTGACTTGGGTAAGGTACTTAACCCTCTAAGCCTGACTTTCCTCATCTGTAAAATGGGCTGTTGCCCAGGTCAAATGAAGTAGTGTATGTTTAAAAAGTGCTTGGAACCATGCCTGGCCCTACTAAATGGGTAGTCATGAAACTGCTACTTATTTTTATTAGTTATTTTGTTATTATATGTGCACAAAGATTTACGAGAGTTTATTGCAGTATTAACAGCAGAATATTAGGAATTGCCTAAATGTCCAGTAATAGAATTTAGTGAAATTATGCTGTGTCCCTAGGATGCAGTATCTATTCAGCCATTAATTCTAGCTTATGAAGAATATTTAATGTCATGGGAAAACATTCATGCTAAATTAAGTTAAAAGGGCAGTCCGCGTAAGGAGCAGTGCCATCTGAGGTTGGTAAAGAAGACCTGTAACGATCGACATGCAGAGGAAAAAAGCCTGAAACGCTCTGCCTACCATTGGTTCTCTGGCTGGTGGAATTACAGGTGATTTTTATTTTAGCTGTTGAGTCTTTCTGCATATATTCAATTTTTTTTTTATAATGAACTCATACTACTTTAATCAGGAGAAATTATTTAAAATAAATTTAACATCGTGAGATGCCGGATTGAAATTGTGATGGGCCAAATGGCACGCTTTTACATCAGCTCCTGGCTTTTGCTCTGCAGCCCAATTGCAAGAATGGAGAGATCAGCAATGAATGGAGAGATCAACAACGGGATCTTTTGAGAGGGATTTTGAGGAAGTTGGAGGAGATGAAAGGTTTTGAGTGCTGCAAAGAAAGCATTGAAGTAGTTGGTTACAGTTCATGGGGGAAGGCACCCAGTTTACCGGGGAAAGCACCAAGGGGTGAGTGCAGATAGGGTGGGTGAGCTGTGCACCTGCCAGGTGGTGGTGGTGGGGCACTTGATGCAGTGGGTTAGTTAAAGCTGCTTTTGGTGAAAGGAGTGCTGCTTTACATCTGAGAGGGGATCAGTGCTTTAGGGTGATCAAATCCAGGTCAAGAGAGAACCATTCAGGCCAGTGATGGGCAAAGGATGCTGGTCTTCTGTCTTCAGGATATGGTGGAAAGACCTCAGGGTGGATGTTTAAGTACCTATGTGTTGGGATATAAATACTTGAGTAGCTGGTTAAATTGCCCCAGATGCTTTTTTAGAACAAGGCAGAGTATAAGTAATAGCTGGATAGTTTTACTTTTTATTAGCATATCCATAGCTTTGGTGGTTGTTGAACTGTCGGTATATCTACATAGAGAATAAAAAATTCTGTTCCCCTAAATGCCAGCTCATCTCTTCCAACACCCACAGACTGGGTTCCTAGACCTGGCTCTGCTTCTGATCTCATGACTCCCTCCTCTTCCCCTCCATGACTGCACTGCAACCAGAGCATCACTTTGGTTGTGGATTCCCTGCAGGATGGACTGAGCCAGCGCTTTTCACTTCCAGGCTGATTTATGTTGACTCTGGAAAGAGCACAGATGCACTTATTAGCAAACATGAAGCCCAGGGCTGGCCGACTCTCTGCGCCTTCCGTGTAGTGGACCTCCTGCCACACGAGGGACCTGTTCGAGCATGTGTATATTCTCTGACCTTGCCATAGCTACGGAATAATTCTCAAGGCTACTGGGAAATTGCTACCACGAGGATGGAATCTCACCTATTTATGCTTTAACACTTATTGACTTACAGCAGCAATATACAAATACAGTTATTGTATAAAGCGCAGAGTAGAATTGGATATGGTTCTTGAGTAGATTCCAAGCTCAACAGATCAGAGTATTATTTCTTTGCCCCATGTGAATGAGGTTTCTACTTAGCTCAGAATCTGGGCTGCCTTTGTTTTTTTGTTTTAGGAGGTGGGGATAGTTTATTCATTGGCATGTATTTTTCTTTAATATGTTTTAGTCTAGGTTGAGCAATGTTCAGCCTCGGTAGGTTGCTGGCGTTCTTCTTTTCTATGGTGGCTTCCCTTGACCTTATATTTAGAACTGCCTTTCACCAAGTTAGGGAGATCTGTCCTGAGTCAAGATCATGGATGTTTTGGTTAAATGTCTTTCAGTGTGTTACTTGAAATTCTGCCCAAGTCAGAATGGCCATGTGTCTTGTCTGACTAGAGGGCTTTTTCTAGAAGCTGTTGGCTGGAGGGGAGGAAGACCAGTTTTCTGTTCTTGTCTGTTTCTACCTCCCAGCCCGGCCTCACTGCCTCCCTCCTCACAAAGCTGCCAGCGGTCAGTTTCATGTGAAGATAAGGATATAGGGATGAGGGATAGTTGGCTGTTCATATGTATTTGTGCAGGTTCAATATGTAGAATACTTACACCGGACAACTTTTTTTTCCTCTTTGTTTTGACATAATTTCAGATGTACAGGAGAGTTGTAATAATAGAACAAAGAATTTTCATGTATACTTCATCTGGATACCCCCATGTTAACATTAACTCATAGTCTGTCTGTCTGTCTGTATACACACACACACAAACATACACTCACAGTGTTTTCCCAAACCAGTTGAAAATTAAGACATCATGTCCCTTCGTCTCTAGATATATCACTGTTTTTCTTAAAAAACAAAGACATTCTCTTATATAACCACACTGCAGTTATAATTAGGAAATTAACATTCGTATACTACTGTTATTCAATCTACGGACCTTCTTCAGATTTTGCCAGTCGTCCCAATTGTGCCCTTTGTAGGAAGAGAAAATCCCAGATTGTGTTACGTTCATTTGTCACGTCTCTTCAGTCTCCTTTCATCTGAAACACTTCTTTAGTCTGTCTGTTTCATGATGCTGACATTTTGAAGAGCATAGGACATTTTGTAGACTGTCCTCAATTTGGATTTGTTTGGTGTTTCCTCAGGATTAGATTCAGGTTTTGCCTTTTTGGCAGGAATGTCAAAGAAGGGGATGTTGTGTTCTCAGTGCATCCTCTCAGGGGCACATGATGTCTATTTGTCTCGTTCTTGGTGATGTTAACTTTGATAATGTGCTGAAGGTGGTGCCTTCTAGGTTTCTCCACTGTAAAGTTATTGTTTTTTCTTCTGTAGTTAATAAGTATCTTGTAGGGAGATGCTTTGAGACTGTGTAAATATCCTGTTACTACTCCAAACTTTCATCCACTGGTTTTAGTATGTGTTGATTCCTTCCTGAATGGTTTATTATTATGATGGTTACCAAATGGTGATCTTCTAACTCCACAGTTCCTTCTGCATTTGTTAGTTGGATTTCTCCTCTAAGGAAGAACTTTCCCTAATCCCACATTTTTTTTTAATTTATGAAAGTACAGAATTATAGATTCTTATTTCATACGTTGGGTAGTAATCCTTTACTCTGATGTAATTCTCTTGTTCAAATTGTCCCACGTTTAGGGAGTGGGAGCCCCTGCAACCTGCTCCTGTATCCTTTTGGCACAGTCTTTTCATTCTTAGAGTCATTCCTTGTGTTCTGGCTCAAAAAAAATGCTCAAGGCTCATCTTTCACTCTCCCTGCCCCAGTCCAAGAATTGGCCATTTCTCAATGGAACCCTGGTTCTGTTTCGTGGAGAATGGTTACCCCAGGCATTTCTTCTCTTAAGAGGAAAAGAAACGTGTTAAAGGATCATCTTTTTTCCTCTCAAAGTGTTATAATTTCTCCCAATACCTTAATTTTCCCCATAGTTTTATTGAGCACCTATTACATCTTGGATGTGGAGAATACAGTGCCTGCTCTCAGGGTGCTCACAGCCTAGTGGCAGAGATAGAGCAGTCAACAGATAATTCCACTAGTATGATAACCCCAACTTGCAGCAGATCACTGAACACTGTGTGATCACAGAGGAGGAGGTTAAAGCAGACTGAGTAACTCGATTGATAACCAAGGACTGAAAAGAGTCTTCACCCTTCAGAGGACCTGGGAGGCTGCCTGATGGAACCTCCTGGCTAGAGCAAAATCCCCTTCTCCATTCGTGAAATCAGGGAGAGCAGTATTTCAGAGTCTACATTCCATTTGGGAACTTTGATCATCTTGAGAAGGGTTTTCATTTATATTGAACTGAGCTGCAATTCTGTATAAATTCCCCCTCATGACTCCTACTTAAATCCTAAAGCTAGGTAGAAGACATGTAAGTAGTCCTCACTGTTGTCAGGCAAGCCTTCCCAGAGTTGAGGACGGTTGGCTTGCTCTGCAGTGGGAGTTTTCTTTTCTGCACTCTTGCACACCAGAGTCTGCATTCGGACCAGGCTCCAGTTTGTTTGTCACCCCCTCTTGTGAGATTGTCCCAAGTGGGAAATCAGAACATTCTCCGTGCAGACAGAGAAAAGGATTGGGCTGTTAACCTGCTGAGTTTCAACAGGTAGTGTGTATAGGTGGCCAGAGGACACATTTACATCCTTGGCCACCATGTCAGCTCTGGGCTTCCACTGATTTTCTGGCGAAGTAACACCCACAGGTATTTTTGGCATGAACTCCTGTTAATCCAAGTCTCTTCCATCTTCAGTTGGTTTTACGAATTGCCTAAGCTTAAATACAAGGCATCCTATTTATCCTTTGAAAATGCCATCTTGTTTGTTTGAGCTTGTCGTTCCAACTTGTGGAGATATTCCTTTTACTCTTGATCTCAGCATTTAGCATGTTAGTTAGTCCTCTTAGCTTTGTGTGCTCTGCAAATTGGTGTGTGTGCTTGGTCTCATCCCTCAAGTTTTTGATTTAAATGAAGGGAACAGGGACAAGACTGAACTCTGAGGCATGTCACTGGACACACTAACCTTTAAATGGCGACGTCAAGTAATGGCATCCACCAGCTATAAAATCGTCTGGACTTTATTATCTGAAACACATTTTGCTGTCCTGGATACAAAGAAATGATAAACTTTGGGATCCTTTATTAAAATAAAAAACTCTCTACTGTGTTTTTCAGATCATTGAACCTAAGTGAGGTTATTTTTCCGTTTATTTTATGTGAATTTTCTTACTGGATTTACAGCTAATTGCTAATTCATCTGGACCACTTTTTTTCTTTTTTCCTAGATGCTATTCAGCAACTGTTGAATCTGTTCTAAAAGTATGAGGAAACTGCTCTCTCTCTCTATATATATATAAAATCTACAACATATCCTTTTAAACTTAATATCATTCCTTTATCCAAAACAATGTACATACACATCACTCTTTCCCCTTCTCTTGCTTTATATTATTTCTGACTGCTTTTCACCACTTAGCGTTACATTTGTTTTCAGTCTCTTCCCCAACAAGAATGTAAGCTAAGCCCTGTTTATTATTGATTCCCTGGCATCTGACACATAGTAGGGGCGCAGTAAATACTGAATGAATGAGTGAATGAATGAATACATTTCTTGATCTATAGTTTCTGGAGTCTACCTTTTTTCTTTAAAAAAAGTTCAAGTTAATGGGCCTGCCACACTGTTCTTTGCAACAGCTTCCCCCACTCCCTTTATCCTCTCTCTTCTGTGTGAAGACTTTAAACCATTTTGATCTCTCCTCCCCCCACCACTCCCAAGCCAAAAAGTGCGTGTGTGTGAATTGGCGATGTTCTTTAACATAGCCGTCCTGGTATCCCATGATCTTAGGACAGTCCCCAGGTACATAAAGATTGAATGTGAATGTAGGCGTGGATGTAGGGACGTTCTGGAGTTCTCTTTGAGAAATCGACACTAAAGAAAAATGTAGGAGAGTGGTGAAGAGCACAGACTCCACAGCCAGACTATGGTTTTGTCTCTAGGCTGCACAACCTTGGGCAACCTCAGTTTTCCCATCTTTAAAGTGGGGATGAAAACAGCATCCATCTCATAGAGTGGTTATGAGCGGACCGAGATGGTGCTCTACCCACAGGCCTTGACATGATGTCTAACTCGAGAAGGAATGGCTTCCCTTATGATGGTTTTAATTTTAAAAAGCTTTGGGAAATACATGTACAAAGGAGGCAATGGAGTTGCCCATAACCTCGTCCCCTAGCAGTTATCACTGTACAGAGTTTGATACGAATCTCCTGTATGTCCATACACAGACCTTCCCTTGCCATCCTGTGTGATCATTTTCCCACCCCTGTAAATAGTTTCTTTAAAAAAATGATAGTTTATAACATCCTATGGAACTCTATGTACTGTAATTTAGAGAGTCCTTTGTTTTGCCAGATTATTTCCTTTGTTTTTTTTTCTGTTGAAAATGTTGTGATGAATAATCTTCTATCGCTATGCATATCTTGAGTTATTTCCTAGAATGGGAGAATTGCTGATTCAAAGGGCTTGTGCATTTTTGAGGCTTTTGAGCCTTCCTGCCAAATTGCCTTCAGGAAGATGGTGCCATTGCATCGCCTCCAGCAGAGCAGGGAGCTCCTGGAAACCGCGTTGCTTGCCTGCCGCGTGCTTCTCTCTGGTGATGCGCGTGGGTTATTCACGGAGGCAACAGTTCCTCGCTGTCTCGATTCTCTCTTTGTTTTTCTTTTCTTCCTCTTTGTTTCCTTTCTTGGTTTTCTGCCAAACAGCCTCTTGTGAAAGGACCGCCTAATTAACCCTGTGCTAATTAACAATTTAAAATTACACAGTGCGACTGTTCATGTTTAATTCTCCGGGAGCTGGAGCAACAGAGGGAGCCCCCTCCTCTTTGTAATAACTCCCTCCCCTCTCTCCCAGATTCCATGTAACTGTTGCATCGAACCCAGTCTTGTCTCCTTCAAGGAATGTGATAAAACTGTCACATCGCATCTTCTCAGTTGAAAGAGGGAAATGGACGACTTTGTTAAAGGGGGGCCCCAGGGTAACATCGCGCAGTTTTATTATTTTAAACAATCTTTGAAAAATAAAAACTGCTATTTGCAAAGATGCAGGGTCCTTTACAGGTGGGTTCCAAGGAAACTAAACTTGTGAGAGGAGCGAGAGTAGGGGCTCTTGATGAAGATGTTGGAACTTTTCTATACAAGATTATGCATCAAATGGCAGATTTAAGCACTAAGGAGAGTGTGCACAAAGTCACTCCTGTATCTTCTCTTTAACTCTCTTAGTGTAGAGATTTGCTCTATTGATATCTAACTGAATTCTTAAAACCACATAAAAACCCATGTTGAGTACAATATTGGGTGGTCATGAATGCATCTGTGTTTAACGGGAATTTTGGGGTGTAAACGGCTAAGGGAGGCAGGCTGCAGAGACAATTGAGGGTTGTGATGTGCGAGCTGGCCCTGGTGTGAGTGAAGGGTGAGGAAGGGGCGCCTTCCTTCAGAGCCAGGGTTGGGGTTTCTGAACAGGGCTGCTGGCGGGGCTGGCTGTGAGAGCGTGGGACCCGCTGGGTTCCCAGGCTGTCCTCTGTAACTGAAGATCATTGATTTTACGGGAAACCGTGTTTACAGACAGAGTGCTGATCGACCTGCCGAGTTGACTTCTGCTTCCTTAAGTAAGAACTACCTTTTTCTTATTGACTGGCTGATAAACAGCGCGAGAGGGATGGCCTGCCTGGTAGGAGGGTGGTGGACGGCCCGAGGACCTTAAACTGAAGGATTGGGTGGTTTAAGAGATTTCTTCAACTCTGTGCTGCCATCTCCTCTTGTCTATCCCTGTGGCTCCCAGGGCCCAGTCGGGGAGCCCAGGACTGACCCTGCCTGGTTACCTAGCAATAGAGACACCAAGCATGGATGAGTTGGCAATCTGGTGAAGATGTCATGAAGCAGAGTGTGTCGCGTGCTTTAATTGTGTACGTCCCCTGGGGATCAGGTTAAAATGCAGATTCTGATTTGGGGTCAGACTGAGAGCCTGCATTTCTCATAGGCTCCACTTGTCCATGAACCACACTTAGCAAGGTTGTAAACAGTCTTGCTTGTCATGGCCAGCGCGCATGGAAAAGAAGCCCAGAGCAGACACCTTAGATCCTGAAGTAGGATCCTTCTTTGCCATGGGTGTCTTAACAGGCAGTCATTCCCTACGAATGAGTGGTCTCCCACTTGTCCCCTCTTGTGAGGCTGGCATCACCACTATGAGGTCGTCTGACTTTTGGAGGTGGCCACAGTGTCATCTTTTCTTGACACCTTTTGCCTGGGAGTAGAAAACAAAGTTAGGTGAGTTTTTAAAAGTCCCAGCCCCTTGGCTGGATGATTTGTAGAGGAAGAGGAGGAAGAAGAGAGCAGAGCAAGAAAAGCCCACCAATTAATTGGTAAACGCTTGCAGGTTTCTCTTGCCCAGCCCAGGCTGGAGAGGAGATTGGCTTTGCTGTCGATACACAAGTCCCTGGTGAAGCATCAAAGCTGTTCTCCTTTATCAATCGTGGCCTCCCCTTCCCGCATGTTCCTGTAACTTACCAAGCATTTATGACATTGATTTTACAATCGGGCTGTTAACCCTCCCGCCCCTTCAGGCCTGCCAACCTTTTTGGCCCCAGCTGTCAATCAGATGCCGTCCAGCCAATCAGGCGTGTCCTTAAGAAGAGCCACCCTGGATTCTCACCTGTATCCTAGCTAAGCCTTTCGAGGAAGCCCGATCGCATCTGCTGTTTGGTTTAGTGTAGTCGTCTTTGTTTAAAATCAATATGTCTTTTCTAAGGCACACGGAACCTTGTTGTAATGGAGTTTGAAGTTATAAACAGAGAGTTGGGGTGTGTGTGTTTTAAACAAAACATGACACATTCTTCCAAAAAGTTATTTCTCCTGAGACTTCTGGTAAACCTGCCTTCCCTGTCTTTTCCCGAGGGGGAGCTGTTGGCTCACTGTGCAGTCAAGCATCAAGAAATGAAAAAAGAATGGGAAGATGGGGCTTGGGAGGGGAGGAGGGTGGGCAAAACCCGCCAAAACCTTCCTCCGCTGTGTATGAATGAGGTGGTGGGTGGAGAAGCAGCCAAATGTTCTCTAGGAAGGAGGCCCGGGAGTTGCAGGCGACTGATCAGGGCTGGGGGAGGTGCTGAGTTGCCTGTAGGAGCAGTGCTGGGACGGAAGAAGTGCCCCTGTGATGCTGTTGCCCCAGGAGCAGAGTGGCAGCCAGTGATCTGATGCCCCCCTCCCCAGGAGACGAAGTCTCAGAGGGCAAATTCAGCTCAGTGGTACTTTAGAGTCGGAAACGGAAAAGCCCTAGGGCTGAAGGACAGCTGCTTGGGTAACAACTAATAACTAATAATAACTAAGAGGCAGGTATGGAATCAGGGCTGGCCAAGCCCAGCTGCTGTCTCGACTTGCTGCTCAGATCCTTGACAGCAAAAACTACCCAGTCCCAGTGGTGACGGGGCTTCGTCCAGACAGGGCTCCATCCACGCTGCTGGAGGGGGAGTCAGCTGATTGGGAGTCTGGGTGGTTCTTCCTAGAAACATCGAACTCATGTTTTGCACCTACATTATTTTAGTCTGAAGCCAGCTGAGCCACAAACAAGGGTGTTCTACCGGTTGAGGGGAGGAGATGGGAATTCGGAGATCTGTCTTCTCTGTTTCACAGTGTCGGGGTGGCAGGGGGCTCGTTTTTAGATTTAGCCCTTCAGTTTTACTGTTTGTAAAATGGGACGATGCTTCCCAGATCCGAGAGGATGAATTCAGCCATCGGCCCTGATGGGGCTTTGCAGAGTGTGTCTAGGCCTGCACATGTGTCCTCTGAGCTATGCAGCCCTCAAACTCTTCTTTGAACTTCTCAAACTAGAAACGTGGTCGGTAAAAGCAACAGCAGCAACTTTGCCTTTAAATCAATCAGTGTGACCCCACTCAGGTTTGCCATCCTTTTTCTCGGGGCGCAAAAATCTTCTTCCTCTCGTTCGGCCCTGCCCGTTGACCCCCTGGCCCACACTCAGCGTGGGCAGCGGGGGGAGACTTTTCCTTGGCCGTCTGTATGTGGGGGGGCTGCCATTCTGCAACCTCGGCGGGCCGGCGAGACAACACGGTTCTCCTCCGCTGTGGCTCGGCGCCCGCGCCTGACTCTAACGCTGTGCTTGCAAAGAACGGAAATTGGAACTGGCCTCCAGGGGTGGAGCGGCCGACAATCTGAAGACAAAGAGGGATGCGCCTGATGCCCCCTTCCCCGCGCCCCCTGCTCGAGCCACGGACCTCGGCCGTGACCCCCAGGGGTGCCGCCCGCCCTCTGCGAGTTGGACGGCGTGGGGCGATCGCTGGGGTGCCTGCTGCCCCTCTGGTCTCTGTTGTGGGTGTGGACAGAAGCCTGTTAGAGTGCTCCGTGCGGGACCTTAGCCTCGGCCCTCCTAACCTCTTTCCTTTCTCTCTCTCTTCCCCCTCTCTCCCTCCTCTCCCCCTTGCCTCCGCTCTTCAGGTCCGATCCGTACTGGGTGCAATGAAAGCTCCACGCAGGCCTTACCATGGAAGGCTGTGACTCGCCCGTCGTCTCGGGGAAGGACAATGGGTGCGGTATCCCTCAGCACCAGCAATGGACTGAACTCAACAGCACCCACCTCCCCGACAAACCCAGTAGCATGGAGCAGTCCACAAGTGAGACCCACGGGCCCCTGGACAGCCTGAGGGCCCCCTTCAATGAGCGCCTGGCGGAGAGCAGCGCCTCGGCCGGCCCGCCCGCCGCCGAGCCGGCCGGCAAGGAGGTCAGCTGCAACGAGTGCTCGGCCTCCTTCGCCAGCCTGCAGACCTACATGGAGCACCACTGCCCCAGCGCACGCCCCCCGCGGCCCCTGCGCGAGGAGAGCGCGAGCGACACCAGTGAGGAGGGGGACGAGGAGAGTGACGTGGAGAACCTGGCTGGGGAGATAGTCTACCAGCCGGACGGCTCGGCGTACATTGTCGAGAGCCTGAGCCAGCTGACCCAGGGCGGGGGCGTCTGTGGCGGTGGCAGCGGGCCTCTCCCTTCGCTCTTCCTGAACTCTCTCCCCGGGGCGGGGGGCAAACAAGGGGACCCTTCTTGTGCTGCACCAGTCTACCCACAGATCATCAACACTTTCCACATAGCCTCATCCTTCGGGAAATGGTTTGAGGGCCCAGACCAGGCTTTCCCGAATACCTCAGCCCTGACGGGGCTCAGCCCCGTCCTGCACAGCTTCCGCGTTTTTGACGTGCGACACAAAAGCAACAAGGATTACCTGAACAGCGACGGCTCTGCCAAAAGCTCCTGCGTATCCAAAGATGTTCCCAACAATGTGGACCTGTCCAAATTCGATGGCTTTGTGCTCTACGGCAAGAGGAAGCCCATCCTGATGTGTTTCTTGTGCAAGCTCTCCTTCGGGTACGTCCGTTCGTTTGTGACCCACGCGGTGCACGACCATCGAATGACCCTGAGTGAAGACGAGCGGAAAATTCTTAGCAATAAGAACATCTCCGCTATCATCCAAGGGATTGGCAAAGACAAGGAACCCCTTGTAAGTTTTCTGGAACCAAAAAACAAAAACTTTCAACACCCTTTAGTTTCCACAGCTAACCTCATAGGCCCCGGACACAGTTTTTATGGTAAATTTAGTGGCATTCGAATGGAAGGGGAGGAGGCTCTCCCAGCCGGCTCTGCCGCCGGCCCCGAGCAGCCCCAGGCTGGTATCTTGACTCCCAGCACCCTCTTGAACCTTGGCGGGCTCACCAGCTCGGTCCTGAAGACCCCCATTACCTCAGTCCCCTTGGGGCCTCTGGCCTCTAGTCCTACCAAATCCTCAGAGGGCAAGGACTCTGGGGCAGCAGAAGGAGAGAAGCAAGAAGTGGGTGATCCGGATTGCTTCTCCGAGAAAGCAGAGCCAGCCGAGGAGGAGGCGGAGGAGGAAGAGGAGGAAGAAGAGGCAGAGGAGGAAGAGGAAGAGGAAGAAGAGGAAGAAGAGGAGGAGGAAGACGAGGGTTGCAAAGGACTCTTTCCAAGTGAGTTGGACGACGAACTGGAGGACAGGCCCCACGAGGAGTCTGGGGCCGCAGCAGGTAGCAGCAGCAAAAAGGACCTTGCTCTCTCAAACCAAAGCATTTCTAACTCCCCCTTAATGCCTAATGTGCTCCAGACCCTGTCGAGGGGCGCAGCTTCTACTAGTTCTAATTCCGCTTCTTCCTTTGTTGTCTTTGATGGTGCGAACAGGAGGAATCGTTTAAGCTTTAACAGTGAGGGCGTCAGGGCCAATGTGGCAGAGGGCGGCAGGAGGCTGGACTTTGCTGACGAAAGTGCCAATAAAGACAATGCCACAGCACCAGAACCAAATGAAAGCACAGAGGGCGACGATGGGGGCTTCGTTCCCCATCACCAGCACGCTGGCTCCCTCTGCGAGCTTGGGGTTGGGGAGTGCCCCTCGGGGAGTGGTGTGGAGTGCCCCAAATGCGACACGGTCCTGGGCTCCTCCCGCTCGCTGGGTGGCCACATGACCATGATGCATTCTCGTAACTCGTGTAAGACACTCAAGTGCCCCAAGTGCAACTGGCACTATAAGTACCAGCAGACGCTGGAGGCACACATGAAGGAGAAGCACCCCGAGCCGGGGGGCTCCTGTGTCTACTGCAAAAGCGGGCAGCCCCACCCTCGGTTGGCACGAGGCGAGAGCTACACGTGTGGTTACAAGCCTTTCCGCTGTGAGGTGTGTAACTACTCCACAACTACCAAAGGCAATCTCAGTATTCATATGCAGTCCGACAAGCATCTCAACAACATGCAGAACCTGCAGAACGGAGGGGGCGAGCAGGTCTTCAGCCACACGGCTGGGGCGGCGGCTGCGGCAGCTGCAGCGGCGGCCGCGGCGGCCAATATCGGTAGCTCCTGTGGGGCCCCCTCGCCCACCAAACCAAAAACCAAACCCACCTGGCGGTGCGAGGTGTGCGATTACGAGACCAACGTGGCTAGGAACCTCCGCATCCACATGACCAGTGAGAAGCACATGCATAACATGATGTTGCTGCAGCAGAACATGACCCAGATCCAACACAACCGCCACCTGGGCCTTGGCAGCCTGCCCTCACCCGCCGAGGCCGAGCTTTACCAATACTACCTGGCCCAGAACATGAACCTGCCCAATCTGAAGATGGACAACGCTGCCTCAGACGCCCAGTTCATGATGAGTGGATTCCAGCTGGATCCCGCCGGGCCCATGGCCGCCATGACGCCTGCTCTAGGTGAGGCTGACTCCGTGTTTGTTTGTTCTCATGGTAGGAGTTTAACTGGGGAAAACTGAAGCTAGACTGAGGTCCTGTTAATTTGGTTGATTCTGTCGAGTCCTGTGGATTCGGTTGATTTTTCTTTCTTTTACTTGAGTGTCTAACAATCAAATATTTTTCTCAAGAATCCATTGAACTCTGTATGTGTGTGTGGGAAGATTGTATGCATTCAGCACACACGTGATTACGCTCCGCCTCCACTGGCTGGGATTAAAATTTAGTGTTTCCTTTAGTTTTTGGCTTCTGGTCAACTTTCTTTTCTGTTCCCGTTCTCTCTTTCTCTGCCCCTTTCTCAGTTTGAAAAATCGCCACAATTATCTGAAACTTTTGGATTCCATTAAATATTTATTGAAACTTACAGGAAACTGTAGCCAGAGCTTTAAATCATCTCCATAAGAGGAACTTGTACCCATAGTGTACCTTATTCAAATAACCCAAGGCTGGTTCTGTGCTCAGTGGGGAGCCACCCAGATACGTTTCTCAAAGTTCTCCAGTGTGTTCAGGAGGATCTTGATGAAAGAGATGTGTTCTTTTTTCTTATTTTGCATGAGTTGTCACTGATTAGTATAGCTGGGAATTAAATTCCCTACTGGGGCACACACAGTGGTGTGACAGGAGAAAAATGAATAAATTCTAAAATTGTACATCAAAGAAAGCTAAGTTCTAATATCAGCTAGATCCTCGTTAATGGAGCCTTTGTTGCCATGAGAAGGGACCCCTGTTAGAGAAGGTGAGTTGGCTATGTCCAGACACAGAGTCTTACCAATTGGCTTAATATCTCTAGAATGGGACCAAGAAGAATAGGATTTAGATGCCGAAAAGCACAAGTAAAGTGTAAAGAGAATCGTGACCACTCTTGGGGGAGAGCTTCTATGGGAAGAAAATCTGCAAATCAGTTTCCTAATGACCAGTGTGATGGTTGGGCCACAACTGTCCCCACCACCTGTGCAGGCACTGCCTGGTCTCCATTCCCTGACCCTGCTAACGTCTTGGGACCAGCAGTGATGGCCCAAATTAAGCAGCATCCCCTTACTGACGTGGGAATAAGTTGTTCTCACCAACAAAGTGTGAGTAGTGCCTTTATTCTGGGATGGTTTAGGTTAATGCCACGGGGCCAAACCTTACCAGTTGTCACATCTTTATTTATGTGGTGTTTCATTGCTAATTGTTGCTGATAAGTCATATTTCATAGCATCTAATTTGTTTTTCCTTCTGTGCATTTAAATTTGAATCCCGTTGCTTTAATCTTGTTTTCTATTTTGGAACATTGACCCGTTGATCCTTTATTACCAAACGGTTTGAAGATGTTTTACAGACTGGTTAATCATGGATGCGTAGGGATTAGTCATCTTATTTGTCCCCAGAGTGAACCATAGGGATGCACACCAGGGATGGCATCAGTACTCTAAGACTTTCTTTTTCTCTTTTTTAAAGCCTAGGGGAATTGGGGTTTTCATGTCTGGAGATTTAAAATCTTGGGGAGGCAGATCTTGGAGTAAATCAAATATAATGTAGGTGGAATGAAGACACAGAAAATGGATGGGTTCATACTGGATCAAAGTGAGATCTTTTTAATTACCTTGAAAACCAGTAATTCTGGCTAAGGCTTGAATTGAGAGGTAGAGGAATATTTTGATTTTACACTAAGTGTCTGTGAGTCTGCGGGGCATCATGCATTATTGGCTTATGGCAGATGCAGAAGAAATAGAAGAATGAATCCCTGTGTTCTGGACACACCTAGAAGATCCGTACTTTATTTCTTAAAGAGAATAGCGCTCCTCCATCTAAGGACCTTATCCAGGTCAGCCAGGAAGGGCCTTTGAATTTCCAGTGTCACCGTTGTCAGCTGAGGTGAGTCTCTGGAAACCTCCTGGGCCTGCCTTGGGCCACAAGAATTTGAGATGGAGCAAGAGCCACAAATACTTCATGCTGGAAGCCTGAGTGGGTGTGGGTTCCATAGGACGTGTCCAAAGGACTTGGAATGTAAGTCGTACGACCTCAGTAAAAGCCAGTGTATGCAAACGAGAAGAGCCGTAACTTTCAGTTTTGTCTGCAACTCTACTGGATTTTCTTTCGACAATTTATGAGAAGCCTGTAGGTGGTATTAGATATTACTGGGCTCTGCAGGGGGAATAAAGTTTTTGTGAAATAAACTCTTGCTTACAAAGTTACTCTTCTTACTTCCCTCGTTGGAACCTTCTCTTCAGTGATATCACACAGATGCTGATTCTGGCAGTGCTTTCTTTCTGATGGCCTCTTTCTTTCTGTCTGCACCCTTGGTCTGGTCTGGTTGGATGTGCTGCCATTTGTAGACTGGATATTAGACTTGAGGCCACCTAACTATCCTTCCAAACATCCCTTCAGACTCTAAAAGTTCAGCACAGCACTGAGAAATGGGTAGCTTGTGGGGACATCTGCATGTTTCCCAAGTAGCCAGCCAGCCACAGGACACTTGCATGAGATTTAAATAGCTCCTTTGATTCTGCTTCTGATTCTAGAAAGTGTCTTTTAATCCATGTGCCTCTGGGATGATGTGTGGGCTCGTGTGCCAGGCTGTAAATTTCCAGGGTGAAAGTTAGGTGCGTGTAGGGAGATGTGGGCCAATCCTTTCCGTGACCATCTGTCCAGTGTGACTGAAGAGTAAACACCTGCGAAGTTCTCACTTAGGGAGGCTCTCCTCCACTTCTTGGGGGCTGAGTTGGTTCCTTCTAGCTCCACGGATCTGTAGGATTCTAAGCCCTGGGTTTGTTCCTCCGGGGTCTGGTTCTCGGAAGGAGTTTCGGCTTGCCTGTTGCCCTCATTTCACCGCTTCTCTGCTTCTCTCTTTGATTTGCATTTCATTTTAAGAGCTCGGAATGGGAATAGGAACTTATTTGCTCTGCGTGTTCTGAAGACTTCTTTTCACTCAGGCATCCAGCAAGTGACAGCTGAATTTCTCTTTAGAGTGATATTGATGTGCTGAGGTTAAAGTTAAAAAGTGGTGAAGATTTGATGCTTCAGGTGGTCGGCATCAGAAACAAATATATGTTTGCTCCTGTCTTACCCTCTGGGAAGTTTCTGCTTTTCCTGAACGCTGTGTATGTTGCAGGATGCTGCCTGGCCTTCATCCCTATTAAAGGATGGAGCTTTCAGATGTTTTTTTTTCCCCCTCTTTTTCTCTCTTGTCCTAGAAAGGATGTCTTAGCTATGGCTCCTCTCACCAGGGGAGATGGCAAGAGAGAAGACAAGCAGCAGGCTTCCCAAGGCTTCTGGAATGCACGTGCCAAAGATTTCTGTGGCTTGCTAGACTGCCCACAGGCTTCAAACGCAGCCGGTCGGCTCAATAGAGCCTGTACTGATCTTCTCACTTGAGGTCTTGTGTAGCGTAAATAAGAAAACCATTTTTTTTTTTTAAATAACATCTTTTCTTTGATTAGCCACTAACTTGGATTCTAATCAGTCATTTAAAAAAAATAACCTCAACCCAACCACACGTAAAAGGTCAAATTTAAATATCAGTTGGGACGGGGCAGGGGCAGACATAATAGCTCAAGTGTACCTGTATTTAGGGGAGAGGCAAAAATAGAAGCCGGTGCTCAGCGTTCTGCTTGACTGTGCGCTCTAGGTAATGGAGGGAAGGCAGCTCTTTCCGAGCCTTTCTCGTGATATAAATAAGAGCTCGCGGTATTAATTTACCGCTGGTGAGTGAGAGCCCGTCCCTGGTTTATGCAGGGCAGTGATGGACTGACAAAGGACAGGGGTAGAGAGGGAGGAGCAGAGCTCTCTCGGACCCTTTTCCTTGGGACCATGAGCTGATCTTTGCGTTTCACTGCCCATCTTGATCCTTCCTGAACTGTAACGTTTCGGCTCCTTTACACCCTTGTCTGGCACGGCAGACAGTAGGGCATCTGTGCAGGGGGTTTTGTCCTCTCTAGCCTCTCAGCGAGGATAAGACTGGACCCCTGTCCTAATGAGGCTGCACTCTGATGGGGACACTGGCCAGCACGTGGCTCTGTGTGCAGCTGAGTTATGACAAAGGAGAAAGTGACGTGTTCTTTGGGAGACCTACATTTCAAAGTGTGGAGACTCAGAAAAGGGAAAAGATTGTACTCTTGGGGAGATGTGGGAGGGACTGGCGCCTTTGATGTGTAGGTAGGACATTGGCCAGTGGAGTGTGATGAGGAATAGAAAGGTCATTCCCGAAATCTCTGATTTAGAGCTGCGCTGTCCAGTACAGTAGCCACTAGCCACATGTGGCTATCTAAAGTTAAATGAATTAAAATTAAATAAAAGTTCAGTTCCTCATTGTACCTTAGCTATATTTCAAGTGCTCAATAGCCACATGTGTCTAGTGACTACCACATCTAACAGTGCAGATATAGAACGTTTCCATTGCCACGGAAAGTTCTGTTGGGCAGTGCAGCTTTAGATAAATTCTGGACCCAATTCTGATTTGCCGTAAAGCCCTGATATCTTAGGTTGCACTTTAACTCATTTCCAACTTTTGGGGTCTGGAGTTTCAGATTCTATTATGTCCAGCGAATGATGCTTATTTATATCTTTTCTTGGCTCTGAGCAAGGGGTTGAATTGAAATATTCAAGAGATTATGGTTCCTGCCTTTTTCTAAGTGTTCTTTTCCAAAAGAAAACAAGCATGAAGCCTTCCACAAATTTCAGAATGTTTGTAGGAAAATGCGAACACATGAAGTTGATTATTTTTAAAGTTGTTTTTACAGGTAGTAGCACCTTGCAACACTTGAATTGTGACCTTTTTCTCCTTGAACTTGGGTTGAGGGTGGGGCAGGGCTGGGTGGTGCCTCAGCTATGAGCCTGGCCTCTGATTCTCTTCCCCTGTCCTTCCCCACAGTGGGCGGTGAGATCCCTCTAGACATGCGGCTCGGGGGCGGACAGCTGGTGTCAGAGGAGCTGATGAACCTGGGTGAGAGCTTCATCCAGACCAACGACCCGTCACTGAAGCTCTTCCAGTGCGCCGTCTGCAACAAGTTCACCACGGACAACCTGGACATGCTGGGGCTGCACATGAACGTGGAGCGCAGCCTCCCGGAGGACGAGTGGAAGGCCGTGATGGGGGACTCGTACCAGTGCAAGCTCTGCCGCTACAACACCCAGCTCAAGGCCAACTTCCAGCTGCACTGCAAGACGGACAAGCACGTGCAGAAGTACCAGCTGGTGGCCCACATCAAGGAAGGCGGCAAAGCCAATGAGTGGCGGCTCAAGTGTGTGGCCATTGGCAACCCCGTCCACCTCAAGTGCAATGCCTGTGACTACTACACCAACAGCTTGGAGAAGCTGCGGCTGCACACGGCCAACTCCAGGCATGAGGCCAGCCTGAAGTTGTACAAGGTAAGACCCAGGCTGTCTCCGGAAGCAGGCATTGGATCACTGGGGGATGGGGAGGGCTAGGGGTGGATGGACCCTATTGTGGCTGGGTTGGTGGCTAGATGGTAAACCTGCTGTTGGAAGAGGAGTTGGTGTCCAATTCCTCCTGAAGCTGCATTGTGGTGGCAGGCTTGATCTGGTTCCTGAAGGTTCTCTTGGTGGGCGCCCCCTTTTGAGGGGCAGGTTTTGTTGAAAGCAGCCTGATGCTGTCCCATTGTACCCTCTCCCCCTTGACTCTCTTTACAGCTGACACTTTTCCTTGCTCACAGTTGCTGTTTCCCTAGTTCTCGCTTTTCTGTACCTTTCTGCTTCTGTGCCTCCCCTCTCTCCTGCATGCTTTCTGTTCTCCTTTCCCATCTCATTGTTCCCTTCTTTTTTTAATGTGTTCTCTCCTGGATGCCCATCGGGTGCTTCATTCATTTGTTCGTTGCATTGTTGATTCGTTCATTCCTTCTACAGATAGCCATTGAGCACCTGCCATATAGCAGGCACTGTTCTGCACACTACCTATATCCATGCACAGAATAGACAAAATCTCTGCCCTCGGAGAGCTTCCACTCTTCTGGGGACAGGTGGGTGATAAACACAATGAAGAAGTTATCTAGCAGGCTAGAAGGTGGTCAGTGCTGTGGGGAAAAATAAGGTCAGGTAAGGGAGCTCCTTGGTTCTCTGTCCCTTTGCTTCCCACATTCTATGACCCCTGTTTCCTCTTCCTCATTCTATTTTCCTTCCCTTTTCTTGGCTTCTCCCGTCCTCCTCCTCTTCCTCCGTCCTCCGGCCCCTCCCTCCTTTCTAACCCCCCTGCCGCCTTTCTCTCAGTCTGTGGATGGGAACGAGGAGGAGGTGCCCGGATACTGTAAATAGTCCTTTCACTTGCACGGCAGAATTGCTCCAGACGTTTCTATTGATTTTCACTGGACTTAAAGCCTCACCTTTTTCTCTAATCATCCCGTAATGGCTTTAGTATGAACAATCAGGTACAAATGGCCATAAATCTGCCCAACCTCCTTCCACACACCTTCCACGCCCTCTCACACTCTCTCTCCATTTTCCTCCCTTTTGTTATCAGTCTCTCTTCCTTCCTTTCATGCTGTCTCCCATGTCTTTGGGCCAGTGAGCGCCGAGTTTCTGCTGACCCTGAGCTCACTGAATCCCCTTTTCACTCATGGTGATTTTAAATGGAGATGCCACATAAGGGAGAATTCTGATCCTTTCCCCATATCGGTGTCTGCTGAGAATGATCACTGTCATTTGTTTTACAGTTGCTCATTCTCAGCATGGCGAGAGGCCTGTGTAACATGGATGAGAAACCATTTCAGGGAAAGGAGGAGAAAGCAGGCATGAGGTAGTGGGAATAGAATGTTCTGGAATTGACTGCTGACTCCAGCATGGATGGGCTGGAGTGATGCAGTGGGGAAGGTCTGGACCCCCCCGCCAACTCCCTTGTCATAAGAGAGCACAAACGTCACTGGATGGCTTAGTTTTGTGCCATCGTTGAAAGAAAAGGCTCCTTGCAGTCGGTTTAAATTGGAGGTCTTAACTGGCCACAGGGTGGTGCCGATGTGGTCAAGAAAACCTGATGGAAAAAAAACAGTGGAAAAAAGTTTCCAAAGGACCTGACTGAACAAAATTAGTACAAAGGACTTGGTGTGGCCGTTGAAAATTGTATGCAACTTTGATGAAGGTCATTTAGAGGTGACATGAAGCTGGCCTCTTCCATCTGAGGGAAAAATTGCCCTTTAGAGTATAAAATGCCCACAGTGGTGATTAACTCTCCAAACTACGTCCTCCAATAAGAGTATACCAGGCCCTTGGCTTTGCTTCTGAAGGGCTGGGAACCTGGAGGATTCACTGAGAATCTCCCTTTTTGGGTCCCAAACCACGTCCACAGGTCACACCTGGAGAATCAGGTGGAGTGATGTCCAGGGGAGATGGAAGGGAAGCAATTTGTGTTTCCATTTGTATTTTGCTGAACTAGTTCAGGACATTCATCCTCTCTGGCCTACATTTTCTCATCTTTTTTTTTTTAAAAGATGGAAGAAACTCCTGCTCAAAAAAGGCGGTGTGGGTAGAAGGGCCTTGGGGATGCAGGGTAGGACATGGAGACCAGCGCCTGAAGCAGAGGTGCCCAAACAATGCGTTTGGCCGGCACATCCCTGGGGGGCGAGCAGCCCCCCACACAAAGGGCAGAATTCCCTGTGTCAGGAGCCGAAGGTCATTAGCCTGGTCTCATTAGTCCTTGGGTAATGAATGTCCCTTGGCTTGCTGTGGCTCTGCTGTGGGGGCGGGGAGCTCTCCCACCCATTCCTGGATGACACAGAGATGGGCTCATCATTCCGATGCTTGTCCTGCAGTGTGACTAAGACTTCTCTTGCCACTCAGTGGGCTCCATCTCACGGGGTTTCATGATTTGGGGTGGGGATTGGAGGTGGTTGGAGAGTCCGTTTTTCTCTAGGCCCTGGTGTGGCCTGTAGTAAATGGAGATTGATTGCATGTTATTTTTCCTCTTGCTAATGTAATCCATTAGCCCAGCACATGCATAATCAGTTTAGAGCGCAGTTAACTGGGTGTAATCGAGTTCTTTACTGTCTGCTAGAGAAACAGCTCCAGATGCTGCTGCCCCGGGGAGGGCACCGGGCTTCTCACACACAGCCCTCCTTACTCACCCCTTCCCCATGCCCCACCCTGACCCCACCCCAGCTCCCTGGCAAATGATTCATTATTGGTCAGGGAGACTCCCAAACTTGCTTTCTGCTGCACCCACTCAAGTGGCCGTGATGTATTTGACTTCCTGATGAGCCTCCCACCCTCCGTCTCCACCGTGGCTTTCCTTCCCTCCTGTTCCTTTTCCACGTTGGAGGAGACAGCAGCGGTCTCTGCAGATGCATGCAGAGGCGGAGCTTTCCGGTGTGTCATCTGCCCTCACACTGGTCCAGAGTCACTTCTTTTGGTGTCATAAATGCTGGGACACACGTTGCTGAATGAGGACTGAGCCATCTGAAAGCGGGACATAATTTCTAATCCGGACACAAAGAGGGTTTGGCTAATCTGCAAAAACAACCCCCAAAACCGAAAAAACAAAAAACCTGGTGATCTCCATTGCTTGGGAATGTCTAGTTTTGGTTATTGTGTGAGAGCGGTTTTTCAGTCGAGGTTACTGTTCAGTGAATTCTTCCTCCCTGCCTCCTGGAAGTGGATGGAGAGGGAGGCCGGAGAGCCTTGGGCATCAGGTGGAGGCTGTCTCCTTTCCCTGGACTCCCATGTTACTTTTGTGAAGCACCCATGGGTACATTCCTGGAGTGTTTTTTGGTCTTAAATCGTGGTAGGCTCTGGTCCAGGCCCTAGTGGTCACATGCCCGTATTCTGACACCTGCCATTATGGGGCACTGTGATTGATGGACACAGCCGGAAGGCCAGCGGCCCCAGGCAGCTTAGAGGCTGGCCTCGTGGTTTCTGTCCATAGTGACCACCTGAGCAAGGAGGGAAGTGTGTTGTGGAAGAGGTACTTGTTTCTCGTCAGGGCTTGAATTCTGTACCTTTCTGCTTTCTCGTGTAAATGAATCACTCCTCTCTTTGAGGACCTGCACACCCAGGTCCCACTCTTGCACTGTTTCCACCTGTGGAGAGGTGGGGTGCTCTTGCTTGTCTTAAAACAGAGGGCGGCAGGTACTGGCAGATGCCTGTCCCCTGCTCTCCTTCATGCCAGCGTAGATCCTGAGTCCGCAGGGTGTGGGCTCAGAGCTGGTGGGAGCTCTTCTGTGTTTATCTGGACTTCCTGCTATGTGGCGTCCCTGGTGAGCTCTCTGAATGTGTAGTGTTTTCTGCTTGGGGGAAGCGGGTGCGGAAAGGGCGGGTGGCGATCAGTGCACACCTGCCAACTATTAGGATCTCCTGTTCGCTTTGATGTTTTCCTTCACCTGAGAGTCATTGGAATGGAAATCCATCAACTTTAGCAGATAGATTAAGACCCCACCAGAATCTATTAGTCAAACGGTTCCCAGCTGAGGCTCCTTTGATTGGGCCAAGCGCAAAGGTTTCATATTAATCTTAAATTATACACAGAGAAGCTTGTCAGCCACGGAGTTGGGTCTGGGCCCCATGTGAGCTCTTTGGGCCAGCCAGGCAAACGGGGTGAGATGCCAACTCTGGTTGGCTTAAAGTAGGAGGAAGAGTCCAGCACCAGTTGGCTGAAAAACATACCTCCAAGTTCTCCACACAGTGGACTTCCACTCCTGCCATCCTGTTTGGATTATGCAGGGCGGAAGGATGTAAGAAAGCCATGAGACTCTGTGTTACTTTCAAATCCTTCTCAGTTCTTTCCCTGGTATGTAAGAAACTTGAGGCTCACTGTCCCAGCAGGGCCATAAATTCGTCATGGGGCGGTGGACAAATCAGAGGAGGTAGAACAAGTTGGACAGAGATGTGGTTTGCAATCTGCACTCTCCATGCTCCCTTCTGGGTGCAGTGAGGGGGTGGGAGTCTTTGGAAGACAGCTGCCCGCTTCATGCCCAGAAGTGGTCACTGGTGGCCTTTGTCTTCCTTGGAAAGCAAAAGGCGTAAATCCTCTGGTGAGCATCCCCTCCCTCCTCGTCCTCTCCACCCTGGGTTGGCTACGTGTTGGAAGCACTGGTGCAAGTGTCATCTGGTTTACATTGTCATTCTGGAACCAGTTTCCTCAAACCTTGTTTTCTCATCAGGTCGACTTTTTTTTTTTTTTTTAAGTGCATACATACTTCTGCCTTCGTCTCCCCATACCTTGGTGACTTCAACCAAAAATGGAAGGAGAGGAGTGTTTTCCTGTGGTTGATTTAGGTGTGAAAGACCAGATGTTTTGGTAAATTTTAGCACCTTTGGCTTTCATGCCCTCCGTCTCCTGGAGCAGCTGGGGGTCTGAGGGTCATTTCCCTCTCTTGATGGCTGGGTTCACGGCATGTGGAGCTTCTGGAACTCGGCTGGGAGACTGC